ATTGGTTTGTCCCGAGGTCGATGACGGTGCCATACTCACAAAGTTCATTCCGAGGATAACGTTCTCGTACAGTCTTGCAGAACGACAAACTTCACAGGGAATGTCTCACCATGGATCTCAACGCGAGCAGTGCATGTCCCAACTGGTGTAATCAGGTGTCCAACGGCGGTTCGTATTTGAGGTTCATCCCTCGGCGTTCTGGCTTTTTGAAGGCGGCGGGAGAGCCTCCCCCTCACGACTGAGCAGTCTGCTCCGGTATCGACGAGAGCTGATGCGTCGTGGCCATCAATAAGAACGTTCAGGTTGTTGGGCACCGTTGCCGGAGAGTTGTTGGAATGCGTGGCGTCAGGTGAGTGGAAGCGCTCCGGCGTTCGTGCAGGCTCTTTGCTACGGTCGTCTTGCGCAACATCACCTCCAGGCGTTGCAACACTTAGTTTTCCCGGCATCGCACCGGAGACAGGCTCTCTCGGCGGGGTCGTGGTGCTGGACACGCTGAACGTCCTAGCGATGGAGAGGGTTATACTTCTCGGCGGAGAGACCGCGCTGAGGAGGGCGAGCGTCGGAGGTATTCCTCAATGTCGCAAGGGCGTTTGGGGGGAAGCCAAGCAGCCCCAATTGTCGGTAGGGGCATCGACGGTAAGTGTGGTCGGCTTCACCGCAGTGGAAGGAAATGGGTCGTCGATGCGTTGTTCTCCACACGTCGGTTTTCCTTGGCGCCGGTTGGTCTCGGCGCTCGTGCTGACGCCGAGACCAAGCTTGGTGCTTGATAGCCCATTTTGCAAAAGGGGCTTTGAAAAGTCAAGACGCCTTGGAATTAACCGCAGATACGAACCGCTGGAGGACACCCCATCACGCCGGTAGGAATGTGCGCTGCTCGCGTCAAAATTCACGGAGTGACGTGTCCTGTAAAATTCATCGTTCTACAAGTCTTTTTCAGGGATGTCAGTCTCGGCATGGATTTTCTGAGTGAATACAGCACCGTCATCGATCTTAATGAAAACAGATTGACGCTGCGGACACGTGTTCCGCCTTCAGAGAAACTCCAAACTGCATCAGCCGCCGTCGGAGTCACTGCCGACTACGTGAATCTGCCGCCGCGATCAAGTGTTGTCGTTCCCGACATGACCGATGTAGCTATCGCGGCGAAGTTGTTCTGGAAGGTACCCTTAAATTGCTCCTAGCCAAAAGAATAGGCGTCGCAAGAAGAGTAGCTGAACTACAGGATGGGCCCCACTCACAAACGTCTATAATTTGTATTTCTTTGGACTGGGCCACTTTTGACACTACACGCCATTGCAGCAAAAATAGCGTGACACGTGATTATAAGCTCGACGTACCATGGCGTCCAACTACAAGGTCACATGGCTTGCTTTCTGCACTGAATTCGCAAGGATGGCTTGAAGCTTCTGCCGTGGTTAACTTTAAGCTGATATAGTTTGGAATAATGCTTCCGGTTTTTAGTGTTGTCCGGCACAGTTAACAATTTGGTGATATAGTGCTGCAGTGAGAAGTCGGCGCATTCATAAGGTCGGCGCATTCATGACGGTGTCACCTTATGAATGCATGCTCTCCGTTCTGCACAGAAGTGAAATGCGATTTACTTCCAATTGCAGCTCCTTCTGTAACTTTATTTTATGAAGCACCTTATGGCTTCAAGCTCTGACGGATCTTGTTCTGCGGTCTGCGCAGGCCCATTGCAGGGAGTCACTCCGAGAGCCTGACCAGAGTTTTCTGCCCGTGGTCGTCCTAATTTTTTCTGTTGTAAATATGCATCTTTTCTGTGTTTCCCTTAATGCTACCCGGGCGTTTTCTTTTCATTTTTGCCGATTTGCCTCAAAATTGGTTATGCACATGAACAGACGCTGTAAAACTGTATCCGACATATTTTTGTCAAGATAACTTTTTTTTGTCAAAGTTACAGATTTTTTCTATCAAGGTTGGTCTTCCTTATTTTTATTTACAAATTTATTTGAGTCTCCACGGGCAAAACTAAAACGTTATGCCAGTGGGGAGGACAAGTTCACGTCTCAAACATGTTCTCAACTAATTGCAAGAAATTTGCTTCTGAAAAATGGATGCCGTGAAACCTCCTTCCAGCACTTGCTCTGCAGCACGAAAAAAATAAATATACATAGGACATGCAATGTTTTTAGACTGCTTGCTCATTCTGCATGTCTGCCTGCCATAGGTGTCGTGCTACCGGAGAGCAGGCAAACTCGATTGTTGGTTTTGCCATTTTTTTTAGCAGTTGTCTTATAAGTTCTTGTAAATTTAGAGATTTTCCTAAAAAGAAAGCCTGGAACAATATTTAGTTTGATTGGGTAGCTGGAAATAATGATTGAGTGCCCTTTAGTCAGTAAAATAGATACTGTGTGCCACTGTTCGTGCCAAGTCGAGATCGGCGCTTTCTTGGCATTTTGCTTAAAGTAGTACAGATTTTTATTGGTTAGTCTCATGGTGCGCCAACTAAAATGTTTCTGTACCGACACCGGCAGTGCTTTTCTTCACATCTGTGCTTGTCTAGACGTACTCAAGCCCGTACATCTTGTCTTTCACTATTACATCAGTATATAAAAGCGTTAATGGCGAGTGAGAATTCAAGTTACCGAATCTGTCATGTGAGTTAAGAACCAAAAAAAAGCTCTATAGACAAAATTTTGTTAAAGAGGGCCGTATGGATATTAGAATAACACATGTCATGCTGAAAAAATTGAAAACTTTTTTAGGTATGCAATGATGAGAGCGCTGCGCCATTTTTGATATGTCAAAAACAATGAGTGACATACTGTATTCCTTATGGATATTTAAACTTTCACATTCAAAGCCTAAAAGTTTTATTTAAGAACGCTCGTCAATACAAATGTATTTAGAGATGAGAGCCACCCATTCATGCAATACAGTGCGGCAAGCATTTATTTTTATGTGCATTATTGTTTACAAGGTCTAGTCTGCACTGATTTATTGCGTTCATGCTGAAACTGGGAGGGGTTCTCTGAGTATGAAAAAAAGATAAGCATTTCTTGAAATCAACATGTGTGAGAACGGACAAAAGGATTGATATTAATGCGGTATATCTTAGATTCTCTTTTCTTTGTCTTATCTCTAATTATCACTTTATTTCATGTGATGCATTTAGATTTTTAGGGCGCAGCTCTTAGCTGCCCGTTTCGCGGCGTCGCCATTGGCATAACGGCCCTGCACAACTTGGCAGAAAATTGAATTAATGTAGAGGTCATTTGACAGATCTAGCGAAGAAACTGTATTTTCTTCTGGCTGCCGTGACACAGTTATGTGACGTCATTTTCGCAGCTACATTTAGCGGCAAAAATGAATTGGTGTTGAGATCACGTAACATCAATGTACCTGCTAAATTTAGTGAGAAAAAGTTCCTGTTATATTTAGGAAAATTTGCCGGTAAATGGGAGGGAGCAGAATAGGAGGAGGGGAGGGGGAGGAGTGGCATACCGTTCCATCCTCCTCCTCAAGAGCTGCGCTCTAGTTTCGCATTACAGAGAATTGTAAACGTCTTTCATTTTTCATCTCATGTTTATTCAATTTTTATGTCGCAGGTGCGTTTGCGGCACAAATCTGGGTTGTGCGGATCCTCTACGCACAAGTTAGGAACTCCTGAGTGGCAAGAGTGGGAGTTTGGTCTGATAGCTCACGGGACACCTTTTTTAATATTGAATTTATAATTATCATCTTTTGAGCAAAGTTCAGCTTTGCTGCATGCAATTCTTCTAGCAATAAATACTTGCTACAAAATATACCACGTTAATGCATTTCGGCACTCCATTAGTGCTCCTCCAGGACTTCGGACAAGAGCTCATTTTTGTGCAAACATCATGCTTGTTTAAATCAAGCGCTGATGTAGAGACTCGCTGACATCCAGCATTCCAACGAAACGTTGAATGTCTACGAGTCTCTCCCGAAGGATGCAAGCGGGGAACCATAAAGTCGTATCGTATTGGGGGACATGCTCTAGGGTGTTCTTTGTATGCTTTACCGATTTGTTGAAAAAAAGAAAAAAAGCCAAGTGAATTATTGCTTTTTTTGCGATAGCTTCGCATCAGGCCTGGGGAGCCGCCAGCGGGGCGAGGTAAGTGTCCTAAAACTTTGCAAGCTCTTTTCAGTTGAGTCGCAGCTGCGTTACGCGTAGAAATCTACGTTATGCGTAGAGTCCTGGTGTGCTCGTTAAGTCTTACGCAGCCTGACTCACTTAGATTAGAACTGCTAGATTGCTACGCAAACAAGGTATATTATTGCTCCGCCATTTGCAGGGACGAAGGGCGCTCCACTTCTAAAGAAATATAGGGGACATAACGTTCCTCCCTTTATGGACGAATATATGTACCGTTATTATAAACATTGAAGCATCTGGTAGGTGACGTAGAAAATAAATTACTACGATCTTTTTACCTAGGGGGTGTTGAGGAACCGCTCCTGACGCCTTGACGAGCGCTATGTCGAGAGTTCCCAAGACCACACTCTGGAAAGCATCTGACTGCTGTGAACACTACGCGCGCCAAGCTGGCTTGTTTGTTCAGACCGGAGCCAGCAACAGATTAAACGCTTGCGGTACCCCCGGGATGCAGAAATTCCGCACTGTGGAGAGCCGACCTTTCAAGTTCGGCAACCAGTCGTGACGAAGCTGACGGCACATGTCGGAGCGCTTCGGCCTTGCGTCTCTGTGGTACCTTTCTGTTATGCCTTCTATGCTACTGGAGAGCTTTCTTTCTTAAAAGCTCGCAATGTGTATGATTGCAGGAACACATATAAGAATTTTTAAGAGGCGAACACAACACGAGTATGGATAAAACCAAAAGTAAACTGTTGACAACCATAGTTTATTTTAAGCGCGCCAGTCCGAGTTAAGGTGAAGTCCCCGCTCCAAGCATGCAAAGGGAGCTGCAAAAAAACGAACCCGATTTGACGGTCGATAAGGTATTTAGGACCTAGATGTTAATATTCGAAGCATGCCAAGAAAAATAATCTTTTTGTTAGTTGTAATCAGTGCGGTTAACACATTGGCGTATGCTGGTGTAGTTGTATGCATAATGTCCACAGTGTCTTGTAAATGCTTTTGTGCATTTCTTGTCAGGGTCAGAAAAGGCATATTTTGTTACCAGCAGGCTGCAGGCTGTAAAATAAAATGAATTGAAGGTTTAGCGATAAATTGGTTTGACCAAATTGTGCAATACTTTTAAAATAACATGAGCGCTCATGCGTTTGCGCCGTCGTGGCGAGCAGCTATTACTTTTAACCGCTGGCCCAGGACTTTTCATTATCAATTATGACAGCTGATATACCTTCGCTGCTTAGACGGTTCGCTTAGATGGTTCGTTAGGAGGTGGTCTATCATTAAAATTAAATAATTTTTCAGACGACTGTCCCTCATGTAATTTACAAAAGGAAGCATTTCATGGAACGATAAGGTGTATATAATAACGTGAACTGTTTCGCTTAAGTTTTGAGGACAAAACCAAGTTACTTTTTCAAGTGGATTTAAGATATTTTCCTCCCGAGATACACATTTTTATTTATTGTGTCACCTTTTGGGACCAAACATGAAGAGTGTTCTGCTATAGGTCGCAGCTGAGCTGTTTTCTGCTTAAACGTAACAGCTCAAAAGTTGATTCACTCACTCAGTCCACATGCACACAGTCAAAAAGAAACCTCTCATGCATAGTGACGTAAGATGTTCTTTGTTAACGGTGTTCGTATGGTTTAGGTGTGTGAGTCAACTCTTGCGCTGTTACCTTTAAGACATATAATGAGCCAACTGACCCAAGCCTCCATGCAAAAAAGCTGTTCTCAATCTCTGCTAGCTCATGTATGGTGATTATTAGTTAGTTTAGTGTTTTGGTTTGATATCTTTCACATGGGTACACAAAACTGTTTTTGAAAGTTCCCACAAAAATAGTAAGATGAAGTGTGAGATTTTTTATTGTGTTTAGAGAGTTCGAAATGTTACGTTTAAAAGTAGAAGATACATGATTTCGGCATCACGAGGCAGCTCAAATAAACAATAAACGAAATATTTAAATGTACGAAAAAAAATTAGCGTACGCCGTTAAGCTCATTAACAAATTGCGCTGACAGTTTAAACATGTATCGCTAAAATTGCATATTTTTATGACGATTATTTGCGTGGCAAAACTTCGTTTCAAGTATTTTCACAGCCATGTTAAATTCTGTTAAACGTTACTCTGTCGTGCTTGATATATCTAGACCCGCCATGATTTCCATGCCCAGCGTGTTATCGTTGTGCATGCTCTGGACCAACTCAGCGCTCTTTCTCTCATCTTTCTTTTTTTCACATACGCAGTGCAAATAGGATGACTCAATAAACCAAAAAGGATTTGTTCTTCCGGAAGTGGCCAATTCGTATCCTTTCTGGCTAACGCACGAAACAGTTCCAGTTGTATTTCAGAATGTATCCTCGAAGAAAATTACCACTTGTATGTTCATTTATCCTAACTGCAAAAATCCTGTTTTAAACTGTTTTGCCTGCCCTGCAGACAAGAGCGTCAGAATTTCTCCGAAATCACCTATTAAAAGAGCTGTATAAAAGTTTCCTCTAAACGGGCTTACTTCGTCATAAACCGCATTATGTAACAGTTAATCGTGATATTTAAAACCCGACACAGTAGTGAAGGAAAAAAAAAGGAAACATTCAAGTCGAAGAAGGAGGCACACTGGAAGGCGTCTCAACGCAGCTGAATTGTTTATTTTCTCTCGGTTCTTATATACCCCGTATAGACGCTAACAACCCCTCTGCCAGATATACCCTTCAATTACAATGCACCTATTGGGCTGTTTGATACATATGAATCAGTCACCGAATGACCTCTTAGACATGTCCATAAGGTTACTCTGAATACAGTCATCACCAACTTCCCTATTAGAAACACTCCTTATTCAAAATTCTGCGATTTGCGTTTTAAACTTGACAGCCTCATTAATCTTCGTTCAGATTCAAAAAAAAAAAGAAATTGGCTTAGCACATCCAAACCATTCACCCTCAAAATGTTTTCTCTGGTCAACTATGACCGGCTCGCCTGCACATTCACTGCCTTTTGAACTTTATATCAGAATTCGTTTTCAAATGCTTCAGAATCTTGTGCTTTCCCCCGCAATTCGGCATAGAGTATTTTATCAAGGCCACAACAACGAAGCGACTCCAACCTTAAAAATGTCCCCGGTCGCTTTGCACAAAACGGAGCATGACGTGTATAGCTTTATTTCTAAGTGAATGCCTTATTTTTAAATATGCACACTCGAAGTTTCCTGAAGATTGCTTAGAATATTCAATATTAATGTGTTATACACTTTGTGAAAATAGAAAACCTTTCCTTGAGAATTGAACTGGTGCATCATTTTTAATGTAATATCAAATCTTCAATATTATAATTGGCATAAGAGCCCGTTTCAAAGAACCAAAGGTGTTTTACGGACATGTTTGTGAGGTTAAAAGTGAAAGCAAAAGAGCAGTTTTATGTGAATCTGCAGTAGTCAAAGCGATTTCTGCGACACTTTAGAGGATCTTAATGTGTCCTTAGCTACCTATATTGCACCTTGACTGGAGGCTGTAGAGCAATCGCCAATGTTTTTTCGGAGGGCGACACACCTGTTGAATTTTGTATCCACCAAAGCCCTCTAATGAATGCGGCGTGAGACTCAGGTGGATTGATTTGACTTCCCCTCAACTGTGGCCACCCAGCGGGCGCTGCACACCACACGCACAATTATTGCCTCTAATATTGTTATCGCGCTAACATCTCGTCAGAAGAGACTGGCATAAAGAATAGCTCGCGCTCATTCCCGTCGCATTGATACCAGCCACAGCCGGCAATCACAATGATCATTATGATGATGAAGATCATCATCATTGTGCATGCTTGGATAACTTGGGGGCTAACGCATGCACTAATCCGCTTTTCCATGCAGGACGGTAGAATTGCAGTCGTCCGCTCGAATTCTGCTCGTTGCTTCTCACTGTGACACATACTACATTTTCCGGATATGGTAGTTCGAAATTCATGGTTCATTCTTTAAAAAAATATCAAGGTGTAGTATAAATGTGCGCCTGAATGTTTACATATAAAATGTCCGTCAAATCACCGTGATAGAAATGGAGGCGAGTGAATTCCGAGTCTCAAAAAGTTTCTCACCCCAAAATACAGATTCTTTCCTTTTTCGTGAAGCTGAGAATGTAATACGTTCTACGCATATTATTCCCTAGCAGATGGCGTTATTGGGTAAAGAGACATTCTTTGGTCTCGACATTCGATTGACTGTTGAATAGTTTCTTTCGTAATATCAATTTATTTCTTTACTATTTTCATCAATATTGTTTTGTCATTTGTTCCCATCCTCTCGAGCTTTCTTAGAGAACGGCTTCCTGTCGAGAAGCCTTTGTTCTCTTCGGACCTTTCGCAAAAGGGAAATTTTCTGCGACAAGCTCTACCGCTGTTTATTTATAATCAGGGCTTGGTTAGTCGAAACCGCGTCATAGCAAAAGCCAGTGCTCGAGTTGCGTGGCACTTGAACCGCTTATATCGCGCGCCCCAACCTATGAAGTATAAACAAACATACGTGCTGTATTCGCGACGTGCGCGATCAAAAGCGTCGGTGAGGTCGGCTTCTACGATTGGCCGAATACTGACTCTGACGTCAGCAAAGAAATTCTTGTCGACTGAAATAAGAGTAACTTAAGAACTTCAATTTTGACGGTGTTGGCAGTGTTTCTTTCAGAGCGCAACGATTTCAAGCTTGCACCGTGCTATTTGTAAACAGCATTGAACTTGCTGTTCGCAAGGTAGTGACCTCACGAGAGGGAACCATAGGAGGGAGCTACCAAAATATCTCGCCGCTAATACCGCTTGAACACATTTGACCTAGGAGATGCCGATGACTAAGGTTCTTATGTCTATTAGTTGATAAACTCCACGGAAGAGCGTTGTTCTAAATCGGTTCTTTTCTGCTTCCTGCACGCGAGCAGCTACGGGCGGGTGTAAAGAAAGCCCCTTGATAAAGGCGTTTTTTATAAGTATCACCAATCATCGTTGCGGAAACGCGCGAGACACGTGCCACGAGCGGGATTTCCCTCGCCAGTCGCTTCCAAGGGTCAGTCATTTTAGTGCTGCGCCGCCATTTGCTTCCAAGGGCCGCTCGAGAGACGGACCTCGGGCACTCGAGCATTTGACGCTACTTGCAAGACAAACGTAAACACATCGAGGGGCTTTAGGGGGATGGCGTTCCTAGCGCTACCAGTGTCAAAGCCTCCACGGGCAACGAAGTACCGTTTTCGAACGACGCTTCTTTTGGCTTCACTTCTGCGCCAACTTTATGTTCATCAAAAACCCACGATAGAATATCTTTCCAGCGTAGGTAAACTGCATCCAACGCTTCACTGCTTCCACCGTTTCTTTTCATTGGGAGGGCTGATAAGCTAACGAGTGGCACTGTGCGCACGCGACACGAAAGGAGCTAGGCGTTTTAGGAAGCTTTCCAACCGACTTCGATATAGTTACGTTTTCAGTTGACGGCTCTGTATCAAAATAGATTTTTCATGAATGGTTTTCGCCGTCCCGCGACGCTCTCCACAACCCGCTACGATACCCGGAGACCTACAGCCAACCCCATAGGCGTGCAGGCGCAGTAGCGGATTCTTTGTTGTGATGGGCTCAGCGGAGGGGGAAACGTGGTCTACGAAACCGCCTTGCGGAGCTCCATTGGCGCTAAGCTGCATGTTCCTTCTTCTGGGTAGCCGAGCGTTGAGTTGGAGTTAAGAAAACTCCTGCGCGCTCAAACTCTCGGAAACCATTGTGCAGCTCTCCTCTATACATCTATAAGTTTGTTAGGCGGCGCTTTGAAGCACTTGGCGTGGCCCTGTGGTATCACGCTCAATTCGCGATCCCCAGACTCGGAAGGAATCCTGCGGAAACCGCGGCGGGTTTTCGGAAATTTCTTGTTCAATATTTTAGCGATATTGACGACGACCGCCGTACGCCAACATTAGGTCGAGGGGGGGGGGGGGGGGGGGGGGGGGGGGGGGGGGCGGGGCTAGATGGGAAAAATTAATCGCAGCTGTTGCTGTAATAACAAGGTAGCCAGAACGACAGAATATAATGTACTATATATATATTTTTTTTCAGGCCGCACACCACCACTATTTCTGCACGTTGTTGTTGAGTTATTACAGCAATACGCCTCACAAATGGGCTCATTTTCGTCTTCTGCGCATGAGAAAGGAAGTAGCGGTGACGTCAGAACGCCGAGCCCTGATTGGCTGATCGCGACCCCCTATCAGAGCGTCGTCTTCTCCTTTGCAACGTCGTCTGCTCACAACGTCGTCTGCGTCTGTCTTACCTTTCCTGCCACTTTCGGAAGTGCAGGTCTTCACGAGCGAGCTAGACTTCGCCTTTCAGAAAGGGCAGACGAAATAACTCGAGCGGTACGTTGTTTTTGTCTAACAACTAGCAGACGCGCATCAAGGAGGGAAGTCAAAGGACTCACTGGCGAGGTGTTCCGAGGCTCCGAGGTTTGTTTGCTAAGAACCGAGAGTGAGGATAGTTAGTGTCCGCAAGTTCCATCCCAAATACTTTTTCCCTCCTTTCATGTGCGGCGAGACCCCTCATTCTTTGACGACGTCGGCGGGTTGGCGCGGTTAACGTCGTCTGCTTTACGTCTGCTAGTCAAAGCGATGGCTGCTTTACCTTTCTTGCGTCTGTCAGAGATTCACCGCTTTTTCAGCGGCGAGAGTCACCGTTGCCTCGGGAAACAAGGAGATAACAAGATGAAGAAATTGACCTCTTAATCTAAAATTGAGGTCAGCGATCAAAGTATAATACGGGAAGGGTTCACAAGGGTCGCGCGGGCATATTCCATTCAGCACGCCAGCCGGTCGTGGGCACACGGTCGCCAAGTCGCTTAGTGCCTGCTAGGCCTAACTTCCGAACCCGCTTGGTCGCGTTCGGTGGAATCGTGGCCGTTTGAGCTTTTCCCGGGTGTTTGTGGACCCAGCGTTCTTGTTCGTCGTGGTCTGTTTCAAGTATTTTTTTACTTTTTTCTTGCTGCTTGAAGTCAGGACGTGTGAGAAGCGCACGTAGAAAAATAAACGCCCGTGGGTCGTCGCGACCGCGACGCTGTCGGCCATGCTGATTTGATCGTAAGAAATGCGTAAGACACCTTCGCAGCTATTGTAGGATTTCGTCGTAACCTGCGCAAAACTTACGAAGATTTCGTTTCGTGAATACGAATTTGTTCTTAAGTTTTGTTTTACGCACATTTTTGGCGTAAGATCGTTTCGTGAATCTGGCCTCTGCACTTCCGAAAGTCGCAGGAAAGGTAAGACAGACGCAGACGACGTTGCGAGCAGACGACGTTGCAAAGGAGCAGACGACGCTCAGATAGGGGGTCGCGATCAGCCAATCAGGGCTCGGCGTTCTGACGTCACCGCTACCCCCTGCGCAAGAAGCAGACGAACTTGCCCTCCGCATTGTAGTTTCTCGTCCGATTTAATGTCATTAAAACATTTAGTACTATTGTTATCAAACCATTTGCATAAGTAAAATGAAGTCTTTATTTTTAATGGTGTTGAGAAGAAAATATCGAAGTCAAACATGTGCCTGTGGAAGTTTGTTGGTGAAAACAGTTCTTTTAACTCAGGGTTTTGTGGGACTTGTGCTATCTCGGAAACTATAGGCTTAAACAGTCATTTATATGGGATGGTTCAAGTCCCCAGGCTCGATCTAAAATAAACCGTAAAAATCGACGCCTGCGCGTAGCTATGTAAACTTTTCGTCAAAGGTGCATTTCACAGGTCGTTTTTTTCTTGTAAAATTACAAAGCGCAGCTCTCTTCCTGTAAAAAATAAGGCCAAGAAACTTGCCAGGGTCTACGGCGGGCAGCGACGCAGACGACAGGATTCCAGTACCAGGGTGTTTGGCGTTCGTATTGATAGATGGCGTCAGGCAGCGTCTGAAGGTGCAGCCGCCTAGCGAAGGAGAGCAGACGACTCGCAGACGAAGTCCGTTGGCAGCAAAAGCGCCGTCGTTATGCAGACGCGTTTTTTTACATTAAGTTTTTCTTTTATTGTCCGCATTTATTTTTTAACCGAAGGTACATTTCAAAAGGATTATTTTTATTTTAAAAAAGTACGGTGCATAGAGTTATTATACTGTACGCTAGAGGTTCAACTGGCGCCAGTGTGCTGTTGCAAATTGATGCAGACAGCAAGCAGTCCGAAATTGACTTCCGGTAAAGCATTTCTACGGAAAAAAGCGAGTGCATTTCCTCCCTGCACTCGATTATAAGAGCAAGAATCACGGATAATTCGTACCTACTAGGCACATTGGAACATTTCCCAGACACGCAGATGAAAGAATTGATCAGTTATGGCGTTTTTATTTTAAAATCGTGGCATGAAAAACGGTGCTAAAACCGCTTCGTACATGTGTTTATGTGCAGTGTCGGACATTGTTAGCGCGAACGTGGCGCCGGCGCTTTCCAGCGTGGGGGTATACGTGCCAAACAAACCAAGGAATTGTGGAAAACCAAGGGAGGCGGCAAGAACTACGCAGTAGTTAACACTGGATAAGTAACTCCTTGTGCTTGCAGACGATCAAAATTAATTGAAAGTCACGTAATATAGTCCAATTCGCAATGAATAATTACTGCTTTATTCTTTCTGCTCATGAATACATGCGAAGATGCTGCTTCTGTGTTCAAATTGATCATCACCCGCACGCTCCAAATCTTTGCAAATAGGGGGAAGCCAGAGAACAGGCGCGCGATAAAAACTGCCCAACATAGGAAATAATAATAAAATGCATTTTCCGTAGCCGACGTACTTTATTTTTTACGTTTCGAACGTTTTTTTTTAACCACTCGTAAATATTCACGACGGGGACATTTTCATATAGTGAAAGGACAGGCATATTAGCAATATATAAGCACCAACGGAATGCTGGCGAACTTTGAACGCACTCTACATTTTTTTCGATTGTTATTTTGCTTCGAATCGTCGCTCGTTTCTACATACCTGCCATGAAACAGAGGTTTGGGCCCGAAATATAGCGAAGTTTAACATCGTTCAGTGGTAAATAAAAAATGCTGTAACTAAAGCAATTGCACTTTCACAATATTAATAAAGGTACATACTATACGCTACAACCGAAATAACAAAAGTTATTATTGTTATTTTCCGGCCACTAGACAAAATTCACGCGCGTTTTCCCATAGGAATACACAGGAAGACTGGAAAAGTAGACTGCATGCTGTCTGCTTCAATTTGCAACCGGAAGTCCCGTAGACACTAGCGCCAGCTGAGCCTCTAGCGTTTATTATAATAACTCTATGGTACGGTGGTCGCGATCCGTCACGATAAGGAGGTAGCGCCATCTATCAGTACGAACGCCCAACATATCCGCTACTGGATTTTTGTCGTCTGTGTCGCTGACCGCCGTAGACCCTGGCAAGTTTCTTGGACATATTTTTTACAGAAGGAAAGCACCGCTTTGTAATTTTACGAGAAAAAACCGACCTGTGACATACACCTTTGACGAAAAGTTTAGATTTCTCCGTGCAGGCGTCGATTTTTACGGTCCGTTCTAGATCAAGCCTGGTGACTTGAACCACCCTATACTTCGACGTTCTTGTCAGGTTATGAGATCTGCGGTTAAAACTAGGAAGGGAATGGGGAATTTAGGTCCCAGCTTCGGACTACTTGGTGAATTGAGAGGTAATCGAGAGTGTAGGCCCCGCAGACGCCGAAAATTTTATTTCTCATATTGTGCGCGGAGGCACTGTTGGAAATTACACAGTTCTGTCGGTTACTTCGTTGTGCTGGGCGGAGCGCTATCAGTTTATATCTGGAAACTTGGCCATATAATCAAATACACACATATGTCCTGACAGAATATTCCAGGCGTGGGACGCTCTATCGAGGGTACAAAGTGGGATGAATAAGAAGGCGTCAACAGTCGTACTTATCGAAAATCGAGGATGTGACACATATGACACATTCAACAAGTGCCAAATATATGACGTACATCACATTCAATAAGCGATCACGTTAGTTTCTCGTACTTACCATTATTAGGAAAATGTGTATTCGGATCTTGTGTTACCATGCATGATTCCATGTCGGAATACAGAATTTGCTCCTTTTTCTCCGGCGGGAAATATTCTTCTGTTTAGCAAAAAAAAATGAAATATTGCCATGAATAAAAAACACACCAAGGTACATTTTATGAGCTAAAACAAAGCACTCAACTATAAATGAAACATTATGCATTTTACGCATATTAACGTTCATTCACACGGCATGAATTTATCCACAAAGAAATTCCAGAACGACAAACTCCATTAATGAAAATCGTCAAAAAGTAGTGATGCGGTTAAACAGAATGTGAATGAGTAATCAAAGGGCGGGGTGAAGACGTAACGACACTACTGGGAAGGAGATACAATCGATGCGCCCAAAGTGGCTAAATATTGTACTACATTGTTGGGGTAAAAACAAAATGAATTATACGGCACTCTACAGGGTGAAACAAGGGGACGCCAGGCTCTTTAAATCGACCGGAAAATTCGGTGTTTTAACCTATCGCGCTACGACTTTGTGCAGCGTTGCCCACAGATGTGCATTTTTTTGTAAAATTTGCAAAGAGCAAACTTACCTGAGGAAAAAGTAAAGAAAGAAAAAGGCTTAGCTCCTATGTAAACGCAGCGAAGCCACCGGTCTGCAAACAACACGGTGCCGTTTCGCACGGGAGACAAGAGATGGCGCAAGTGGTCGCGACGCCAACTGCCGCCAACGAACGAGCAGACGACGCCGAGAGCCGGCGTAATTAGCAGACAACGAACAGCAGTTCCTTGTTGTTACCGCGCCTGTTTTTGTTTCTGCGACTGTTGCCGCCTGCTGAACGCGCGCCGCTTTTGAGTCGAAAGATTGTCTGCTGAAGATGCTGGCTCTTGGCGCAGTATGCTCGTTCGTTGGCGGCGCTCGTTGCGCCATCTCTTGTCTCCTGTGCGAAACGGCGCCGTGTTGTTTGAAGACCGGTGGCGTCGCTGCGTTTCCATAGGAGCTAAGCCTTTTTCTTTCTTTACTTTTTTCCCAGGTAAGTTCGCTCCTTGCAAATTTTACAAAAAAATGCAACATCTGTAAGCAACGCTGCACAGAGTCGTAGCGCGATAGGTTAAGAAACCGAATTTTCCGGTCGATTTAAAGAGCCTGGCGTCTCCTTGTTTCACCCTGTAGTTCGTTTGCGTCTTGCGCAGAGGGTGCCAAACAGATCTTCGAGTTACACCGTGTTACAATTAGCAGAAAAGGGAGTAGACGCAAACGCTAGCTGCATTTGTCTCGACCCACTATCTCCTTCCAATCAAAGTGAGCAGTATTGTCGTTTGCTGCTCGTGCAGAAGCAGCAGCAACGCCAAAATCAGGCATTCGGAAACCGAACGTGGAAGTCTCCTGCTACTCGTAGGAGTAGCTGTTTTACGTTTTCTATGGATTGGGAAGATGCACCGCATCAGTGCGAGTAACAACTTAGCGGCTACAAATAAAGTCCTTTCAGTCATTTTTTGAGAAAATTAAAAAGTGTTATCTAGAAGGGTGCGCTGTTTTCTGACGACTAAACACTACCAGACTTGCCCCAAGGTAGGAGGAAAGCAGGGCCAAGATGTCGTTTGTTCTGGAAAGAGGAGCAGTTGCGGGGCTGAGCTTCGTCGCAAAAATGACCCTAGGAGTAGACTATGGGGAGGCAACGGGGCTCGTGCCCCCCCCCCCCCCCCCCCCGGGCCATGATCCTTACCGAGACGTAGCGGCATGTAAACAAAATAACGCGCACGTTGTCGTTATTGACAAAACACATGGGAAATGGAATTCCAGCGTGTTTTCGTTAGCTTCAATCTCCAGTTCTGGCGAAAAAATAACGCGCAGCACCCCCCCCCCCCCCCCCCCCCATTGGGAAAATGGAAAGTCTACGCCGCTGCAAGTGACCATTTCCTCTTACCGCGCTCCTCCACTTCTCTTCCCCACTTACGACATGTATTTCATTGCGTGTTTTAAGCAACACTCGGCAGACCCAGCCGAACGTTCCGGCAGCGCTAGGTCAGGGCTCGAATTCTTCCAGCGGAGATCATCTCGAACACACGTCTAGGTCAACCGCACAGGAAGCACTCGTCTCCAATTCGTGTCCCGTGCTCCATCTAGGCACATGACGTACACAATGCAGTCCACACACCTTGCGTTAGTCAAACATTTACCTTCATGGAAAACAAACAAACGTCAAGGTCACACAGACAGCTGCCACGGAGCCAAAGAGGAGGGGGCGCCGCGCCCCACCCCCTAGAAAACAAAATCAATAGTGCTGAATGAGATCGCATCAACAGAGAACACCATCGCTAGACACAGATTGAATACGAGCGTTGCATCAGCGCTCACCTTCCAGTCAGTTTTAAACTTTGAGCGCGACGTTTGGACGCGACATAATCTTCGCGTCCAATCTGGGCCCAGCGTTGACTTCCTCTCATGGCCCCATCTCATTCAGCACTACGGCTTTGTTATCAAGGAGGCTTTGCGCCGAGCGCGGTTGAAAGCGGACAAGGTGGCGTAACTAGGGTCAGCGGCACTCGGGCCGTAGCCCGCCGCGACACCCCCCCGCCTTCGACCCCTTTTCTTTCACTGCCCAGCTGCACACCCCTGAGTGTGCATCCGGGGCGCACTCCGCCACCCCACCACCCTACCGCCCTTGTGACACCACTGTGCGCGCGTGAAGTTGCCGCTCTGCCGTCCCCTGTTTTTCTCAGTTCTGGGTTCCCGTAGTAGCGGTGCGTCGGCTTTGATGTGTGCGTGTAGTTAAAACTATGGATGCGGTTCTCTCCACAAGTGATTTGGATACGATTTCTTCGACGAGTGATACGAATGTGGTTCTTTCCACGAGCGACATGGATGAGTGTATCCAAGCGCGTCGACGTTCTCTGACAGGCGCAGAGTACAGAAATGGGGTGAAAAAATTACAGGAAATTCATTGGTGATCAGGGTGAATTAACCTGAGACTGGGGTAGTGAATAAACATCAAAGGCTAGAAGGGACAGAAAAAAGACAGGACGACGTCTCAAACTTAGCTGACTCGTTTATTTAGTTCACCTTCTTATATAGTGCTAAGCCTAAAACTTCCCTAAAAAGCCACCATTGGGGGATTCTTAGGGAATCCGTTAGCATGACCAGTGGGAGACGCCACACACGTCGCCCTTTGGGAAGCGCTAACACTGACCCCGTACCAAGGCCAAAAAGAGGGAGCCAACAAATAGGGGAATCAAAAGAGAAACCAAAAAGGAAAAAAAAGTGAAGGGATCAGCCTTTGCGTTCCACAAAGGGAGACATGTGTGAATTTTTTAAGGGTCATGCTAACGCTTCATATAAGAATCAACCAATAAATCTTGCTGCAACTTTTTTTGTAGCTTAATTTTAACAATTTTTAACGAAGACTCAGGATTTTTTTTCCAAACGCTCTAGTGGAGCAAGTCAACAACAGCTCCAGCTCGAGCTTTCTTGGGTTTATTCCAACTTTGAAAATGTCCGCTTGGGGTTAAGTGGCAGTGTTTACTGATATTGTCAAAAATAACAAAATATGAGGCGGCGAATAACTGAAGAAACTTAGCGTTTAATGGGGCGAAGTTGCGCCACCAAAAAAGAATTAGAGAAAGGCTAGTGTCGCAGGCGTCGATGTCAGCAAAACAGCAGGATCGAGCGCTGGGGCGAGACTGACTCGACGAGGTCGCGGCGGTCTCTTATATAGAGTGAGTCACTATCTCGAAGATTGGTCAAAGAAGGCTCGACCGTCTGATAAACGGGGCGAGGATGAACACACGCCCGCAGCAAGAATAAATGAGAACACTCTAGAAGTCCGTGACCTAGCGTTGCTTTCTCGACCCCTTTGAAAGCGCATCGTACAATGCATCACAAAAAGAAAAACTCAAATCCACAACGAAAGGACAGCAGAATCGCGTGCCACAGTTCACAGTTTGACGAGAGTCCAAATTCTATCGTTCGTAATACGGCTTGAAGCTCACGACGTGGACTAGTTCGGGTCGCGGTTGGCGTCGTCTTGATGATCGAGTTCCGTCGAAAAGCACCTCGTAGTTCAAGTGCCCGAGACGGCGAAGAACATAGTAGGGTCCGAAGTAGCGCTTGAGAAGCTTCTCGCTGAGACCGCGGCGCAGTATCGGTGTCTGCACCTATACCCGGTCTCCGGCTTGAAACTGGAGGTCCCGGCGACGAAGGTTATCTTGGCGTAGACTAGCTGTTGCTCTTAAATCTTGATTCTTGCCAGTTGACGAGCTTCCTTCGTGCGTTGATAGATCAGTTGAACGTCGTCGTTGCCATCCTTGGTTGGCATGTGAGGCAGCATGGCGTCGACCATCGTGGTAACCGTCCGGCCGTGTACCAGTTGGAACGGCGCCATTCCCGTGATTTCTTGAACAGCTGTGTTGTACGCAAACGTAACGTACGGCAGCACCTTGTCACACATCTGCTTTACGTCGACATTCTGTACATGGAGATCATGTCGGCGATCGTCTTATTGAGCCGCTCCGTTAGCCCGTTGGTCTGCGGACGATATGGGGTGGTTCATCGCTGGCTGGTATGACTGAGCCGAAGAACTTCTTGAGTCAGCCTGTGCCAAGAAAGATAACCCTCATTCTGTGATCAGCACTTCGGGTGCGCCGGGGGGAAGGAGAACGGACTTGACGAAAACCTTGGCGACTTCCACCGCTGTTTCCAGTGGAAGGGCTTCAGTCTCGACGTATCGTGTAAGATATTCGGTTACGACGATAATTCACCGGTTTCCTTGCATTGATGTTAGGAACGGCCTAAGCAATTTTAGTCCGACCTGCTGGAATCACGTAGTCGGGGCAGATATCGGCTGCAGGAGTCCTGCTGGGTTCATCGGACGCTTCTTACGTCGTTGGCACTAATGGCACGACCGTGTGCACAGATAGACGGTCTGCGGGAGTCTCGGCCAGTAGTACTTCTCAGGAGTCCGGGCGAACGTCCTGGTGTAGCCGAGGTGTCCAGCCGTCGGGGCGTCGGACATGCTTGAAAGATTTCTTCTCGCTGGCTGGCAGGAACAACCAGCAGCCAGGCGGAGTTGCTACTTCCTAAGTCGTTCTTGAAATGCACGCCTC